CGCCTGCCCCCGCTAACCCCGCCCCTGATATCTCGGCCTCGTGGACCCCCGGCCCCGGACCCCGCCCCGCAGTGCCCCGTCGGCAACCCCGACACCCGGCCCCGCCTAGCCAGCCCCGCCCTACCCCGGAACCCCGCCGACCAGCGCCACGACCCCAGGCGTCCGGACCCCGGCCTCGGCCCCCGGCGACGGCCCCGACCACCGTGACCCCGCGCCGCCGAACCCCGCCACAAGCCCCAACCACGGCCACCGCGCCCACACATCCCCCGCCCCGGCCTACCGCCGTGGACCCTGGCCTCTACATGAATACCCCACCAGGGGAGGGGGGACCCCAGGGGGAGGCGCCCAGGGGGCCACTTTTCTGCGAAAAAGTAGAAAGCGCCAGGGGCTGCCCGGCGACGGTGCGCACTTTCCCCCATTTTTATTTGATTTTTTTGATTTTTTTTTTTTTTTTTTTTTGGCCTCTCCCTGGCCGGGGTCAGGGGACCATCGCACTGGACCCCCGGGGCCGGGGTTGTGACAACCCTGGGCTAAAGTAACCCATACGGAAGGTGGTTCGCACTGTTCACCTCCTGGCAGGTAGGACACTCCTGGCTGTAGGCTTTGACGAAGTCCTTGGACTTCGGCCAAACGTATAGGCGGAAAACACGAGCCAACGTCTTGTGGAAGCCCATATGACCGACAGTTGCTCGGTCATGAAACTCTGCTATAACCTGGACGCGGAGCTGTTTGGTTGAGCGAACGCAGATACGCGGTTCTAGCTGACCAGATCTGCCATGCCAGTATACGAGACTGTTTTCACCGCGGGGTATGAGGGAACGGTTTTGCCACTCCACAATATCTCCTGGATGACGCAATAATATGGGCAGTGGCGGTACTGAGTGCAATATGCGTCGATCACTGACTGATCAACAATGGTGATGAAGATGGCAGCAAGATGGATGGGTTTCTGATTGTGATTAGGACGGCGGGACAAGGCATCGGCGACGTGGTTTATTTCACCCTTGATCGACTGAGTGGTGAAACTGAACTCGGATAAGTCACGCCACCAACGTGCCTGTCGAGGGGAAAACTTCGGCTTCGTGAGGAAAGCCTGGACAACTGAGTTGTCCGTGCGCACCGTGAAGGGCCCCGTGCAGGTAATGACGCCAATGCCGGGTAGCATAAACTACTGCGAGAACCTCACGTTCATCGGAAGTGTAGTTTATCTCGGCAGGCAGTAGCTGGCAGAAGTAGAAGGCGATCAGGCCATCCCCATCACGAGCCTCGACAGTCCCATCCTCCGCGATGGTCGGGGAGTAAGTCACGGGAGGACTGTAAGTGGACGGAAGTGGTGGGAGGGTAGGCATCAGTCGAGAAGCAGTGTCAGCAGGAGGGGGGGGGAAGGAGGAACATGAGGATAAGGTGAATCGGGAGAAGAGGGAAACACCTAAGAAAGTACAAGTCCTACTGCAAAATTTAATGCATCAGTGGTGACGATGAAGGGGCGATCAAAATCAGGAAGGCGAAGAGCCGGCGTACAAGTTACCGCCTTCTTGAGGGCGCGAAAAGCGTCCTCGCATAGGGATGTCCAAAACCACGTGGGGTTCTTCCGGAAATGGTGGAGGTAAGGACGTAGGAATACCTAGCGTATCCCTGGATGAAATTACTATAGTAACTAGTGAGGCCTAGAAAACAGCGAAGCTGCTTGGCGGATGTGGGGACGGGCCACTCTGCAATAGCAGTGATCTTCTCGTCGTCCATGTAGAGATCCTGGTCAGACACATGGTGTCCTAGGAAGTCCACTTTGCTCTGGGCAAAGCGGCAATTACTAAGCTTGGCATAAAAGTCATGCTTGCGTAAGAGCTGTAGGACATCGCGAAGGTGTCTAAGATGGTCTTCTAAGGTAAGACTGTGGACCAGAATGTCGTCCAGGTATATGAGAATGTATTCTTCAAGGATATCCCTGAAGATGTCGTTCATCACCGTTCAGAAGGTGGCGGGTGCATTGGTGAGGCCGAATGGCATCACCGTGAACTCATAGTGACCGAAGCGCGACCGAAAGGTGGTCTTCGGCTGGTCCTCTGTGCCTACGTGGATCTGGTGGTAACCGCTACGAAGATCGATCTTCGTGAAAAAGAGGTTGTCTGCCAGACAGTCAAACAACTCATCCGCTCGAGGCATGAGATAGATGTTCTTAACGATGTAACGGTTAGGACCGTGACAGTCAATGCAGAGGCGAAGGGTTCCGTCCGCTTTGCGAGCAAAGAGGACGGGTCCACCCCAAGGGGAGTTGGTGAGTTTAATGAAACCCAGTCAAAGGAGCTCCTTAAGTTGACGCTTGAGTTCCGTCGCCTCTGAAATCGATAGTCGGCAAGGTGCCTGATGATAGACAAGATAGTCAGGCACGAGCTCGATAGAATGTTCAACACTGCGCATGGGAGGGATCCCGCTGTATGAGAAATACGGCGGGGAAACGTCGTGGTACTCTCGAATCAAATCGCGAACGACGGGTTCTAAGTCCGTCGTGAACCGCATGAGTTCCTTAACGTCTGCGTCGGCACGAGACGTATGGGTGAACTCGACAATGACCGGCAAAGGGACCTGGGATGTGGAGGGGGTATTCGCAGGCTAACGGGTGGATGTGGAGACGGGAGCCGCGAAGATGGAGGAAGGGTCAGGAAGATTGGGCTCCAATGAGATGAGCTCAACCTCGGGACAGAGTGGATAGCTGCGAAGAAGATCCATGACATTCACTGAGTAGAACGTGAGGTCCTCCTGTCGTATGAAGTGAGCAAACTGATGAGGAGAAGTGAAGGTAATGTCTGAGTGGGACCCAGAGGGACGAGGGTCCTGGGGAGGTAGGTCTGGAGGGGTGTTGCCCGTGGTTCCAATGAAGGGGACTCGATGGGTTTGATCACAGTTCGTTTTGAGAATGAGTATCTCGGTCGCCCATTCGGCCTCTGTGCCACGGAACCGACGAGACCACGGAGTGCTAAGGATAAAGTTGTACCCAGTCTCCAGCACGTCGAAGTATGCGGAGGAATGGTAGCGCCGAGGCGCCTGGGTACTATTCGATGGTTGGAGGGTGAGGGAGAAGTGGAGATCAGGGACCGTCTGATCAAAGAGGCGTTGCGTCTTGTTATCCCCGAGGGTAACGGAGATAGGAGAGCGGGACCTAGAGGTAATTAGGCGAGTTTTCTTAACCACGCGAGGGTGAATGAAGTCCCCCTGCGAGCCAGAGTCTCATAAAGCACGGTACACCCTCGTAGGTGTCCCCAGGCGAATAGGGATGATGGGGAGGGTGCGAGCAGGGTCAGGGGGCAAAGCGAGAAGACGACGCAGGACGTTTACGAGTCTCGTGAGTCGCTCCTGGCGAGCTTGAAGGATGCTCAAATCCAAGAGAGATGACACAACGTCATCGAGAGTCGCCAGGTGGGCACTACAACGAGTTGTGCGAATGGTGGGACGTGTCGGAAGTCTCGAAGGGGAAGGACTACATGCGGCGGTCTGTTGTGGGGCAGACGGTAGGCTACCGCGATAGACGGCGGGGCAGAGGTGACTGTGTCTGTCGTGTGTTGAGGATCCTCTGGTGGGGTAGCCAAAGGGGCAAACCGCGACTCGGTGGTCGGGAAGCCGGTTACGTGCGAGGCCTCAGTGGTACACTGCACAGTGGTTAGCTGGGTGGGGCTGGCCGGGCGGGGCCGGGGGGGGACTGAGATCGGCACTGACGAGAAATAGTGTCGATCGAGGGCGGCATGGTATGGACACTGTGAGGAGGTGTGTCCATCCTTGCGGCAACGAAGGTAGCTCCGACGGGCCTCGAGGGCGGCGCGCTCCTAAGGAGATAGAGCTCCGCGAGGAGGAACAAAACTCTGCGAGAGTTCTATCTGAGGAACTGTGATCGTGAGGGCGCCAGCCTGTGCAACCTGACTACGTGCACGACCCATGGCGGACATGGCCGTCCGCAGACGCTCAGCCACCGGAACAATGCCGTCATGCAAGTGATACTGGATGACGTCTCAGAGCTCGATGTCCTCGGGGGCGTCCCCAAGGGTCGGGTCAAAATCGGCCAAGACGTCCTCGTCGTACTCCAAAGAACTATAGCGCCAAGAGAATGGCGCTCCAGGTCGAGCTGGTCGGCGAAAGCAGCCGGCGAAGGAGGATCGGCCGTGAGTAGCACCGCGTGACTGGGTGGAGGCGGTGATGGATCGCGAAGAAGATGGGGTGTCGGAGAAGCGACTCCCCATCGTTTGGTACTGTCGAGCAGCCTCGTAGGTCTGCTCTGAGGAGGCGAAGCTCTGTCGCCAGAGCTAGATGCGGTAGTCTGACTACGAACCTGTTGGTCAAAAGGACCTAAGGTAGAAGTGCCTCATCGCAAATGAGGCGGGCATCCTGAAACACTCTAATGTGACGCTCAAGATCGGCTGGTGCGGAGGACCCACGCCACTATGTCTGGGTGACCCGATCTACAGCGTCAGTCGCATCGTGGAGAGTGTCATAGCGCTCATGGACGAATGAGGTGAAATCCACGAGAGTAAGAGCCTCACCTGCGCGAGTACGATGGGAGTAATAGTTCTCCCATGTGGAGCACGCGCTGCCTCGCAATTTAGTTGCGAGCGAGGAGCACCACAACTCCTGAGGACTGTCAGTCAGTGTTAGCGCACATATGGCAGCCTGCAACCAGTGCGACACACGCATAGTACGATCGAAGTCAGGTATGTCCGACGACCGCTCAAGGTTGGGACCGCTGTGCCGACGGCGAGGGGAGAGAGGTTGAGGGGCCTGCACTGCGGCGACAAATGTTGAGGCCGGTGCAAACGTGGAAGTGGTAGTAGGCTGAGAGACGGGGCTGCTGGTGGACGGTCCAGCTTATGTGGAGGCAACATTCGCAGCAACTGTGACGGAGTAGCGAGGTAGTAGGAGAGAGGGGGGCGAGCTGGTCGAGGGAAACGAGCCGGTAAGACAGAGGTGGGAGGGGTGGCATAAGAAGAAGAAGGGTGAGCAACTTGTGAAGGGTGAGGCTGTCTCAGGGATAGAATCTCCGCCTGAAGCTGCGCGACGGTCGCCAGTAGGGTAGCCACCAGTTGGGTGCGAGGGGTCGGAGGTGGAGGGGGCAAAAAGAGTACCCTATCGAGAGGAGGAAGAACTTCGGGCCGTAGTGCCACGACCTGTGCAGGAAGCTGGGAAGCAGCACCGAAGTGGGTAGATGAAACTACCTGGTCAGATACCGGTATCTAGGCAACAACACATGCGACAGTGGTCGAAGCGGCCGAGGCGGCGGGAACGACGGGAGCCAATGGATGTGCTGCAACAGACGGTATGGTCTGAGCGGCAGCAGCACTCACCACTGCTGAGGAGGAGTGCTGGACCTGGACCGCGGAGGAGGACGAACCGCCACGTTTCTGTCTCTGGAGTCATGGAGAGCCGGACTCCGAGCCTGTAGGGGATGAGGTCTGAGAGCGGTGGGGAGAGCGATGCGGAAAACCCTTCAGGCGGTGAACTTAAAGGGCGAGCGCATTGACTTGCCTCTCCAAGGGTGCAAGCGCATCGAGTCTCTCTTGCAGAGGTGCAAGGAGAGACGCAAGAACAGCACGAAGGTCCGCAGGGTCCACAACATGTCGTTCCTGGTCCGTCGGGTGGGTGGACGCCTGAGAGGTGGACGACGCCACGACGATCTCCTCAGTTGTAGCCCTGTCCGTGGGCGGTGGAGGAAGAGAGGTAGACGTGGTGGGAGGTGGGGGGAGAGATGGGTTGTGGTATGGGGATACGGGACCACCGGTAAGAAAGAGGGGACCGAGAGAGCGAAGTGGGTAGTCGTGGGTCGGCTTGCCCCATGACCAGCGGGTCGCTCATGAGATGGTGGCCTGAATCTGATCGAGGGGAGAGGAGTCGTTCGGGTTTAGGGTGCCCGACGGGAGGAGGAGGGAGAGTGGGGGGATGAGGAGAACCCTAAACCCTAAAACAACCCTAAGAAAATCCTAACCGGGGTTTGGATGGGTAGGGGAGGGTAGCGGCGACCTAATCAAGAAAATAAAATAATAACCATGGAGGGGAGGGGGAGAAAAAAATAAAATGAATAGTAAAATTTCGAGATAAAAAAAAAAAAAAAATAGTAATAACAATAAGTAAAGAAATAAATAAATAAAATATGAAAAGATAAGTGATATTTATTTGTTTGGAATTTTCAGCAACATTTCCCTAACCCCCATGGGGTCAAGAATGTGCCAAGAGAAAGGAGAGACCAAGATAAACACACTAAGCTTCAAAATGCCGCAAACCAGGGTAACCGACGTTCGGGACGGGCCGAACGCCCGAACCCAAACGCCCGAAAGTATGGGACCCCTTGGGGATGCGTTCGGCCGTTCGCGGACAAAAAAAAAAAAANAAAAAAAAAAAAAAAAAAGTTATCAAAAAAATCTGAAAGAAACATGTGTTATGGAGAAAAATAAATTAAACAAGATTTTCCTGAGCATTACATCCAAATTTCTTACCAAATTTGAAATAAAAATAAAATACGGAAAACAAATACTAATAATAAAAATAAATAAAAATAAAAAGAGAATTAAACTTAGTGAGTGCGCGAGCATGTTTTCGACACCGTCATCTTTGGCGATTTTTAATTTTTTTTTGACAAAGCTAAATGCCCTGAAAATTTACCGAGTGTACTTCACATAATACAAAACCCACTAAAAAAAATTCAAAAAACAATAAAATTGTTGAGACCCTGAACGAAAGTGAAAACAAAAAGTAAAAAGTGAAAAAATACATGGGCGAGCACGTTTTGACACTGCCATCTTTGGCGATTTTTCATTCTTATTTGGCTTTGCCAAATGACTTGAAAATCTACAGGCATGTACCTCACGTCATAGAGAACTCATAAAAACAAATTCAGAAAAAAAAAATATATTTTTAGGCCCCGAAATAAGTTTTGGCAGGGGCCGAACGCCATCGGGTTCGGACCCTGTACGGGACCCTGAACGCCCGTACGTACGGAGCTCTGCCAGGGGACCTCCATACGTATGGGCTGGTGACCCTGCCGCAAACTAATAAATTTCAGAAAATAAATAACTAAATAAATAAATAATAGATAAATAAATGGGGAGGATGAAGAGTGAAGAGAAACTAAGTGTTGGATTTTTCAAAAATTTTAGCAGCATTTTGTTACCCCCATGGGCTTAAAGTATGTCGTCAAAAAGAAAGACTAAATAAAATTAGAAACTTTTGCCAGCACTTCGCTACCCTTTAATGGTCAAAATGTGTTGAAAAAGACTAAGTAAAGAAAAAACAGAAAATTTTGACTGCACTTCGTTAACCCCACGGGGTCAAAATGTGTGCCGAAAGCAAGAATGACTAACTTCTAATCAGATTTGAGAATGCCACAAAAAAAATTGAATTTTTCGAATAAATAAAAAAATAATATGAAATAAATCAAAAAATGAGAAAAGAAGGTGAGAAATAAGATAATTCGAATTAATAAAAAAGAAAGATAAAAAGAAGAAAAACAAAAAAATTTGAAGTTGGGGGGGAAGAGGATTAAAAAAGTGAAGAAGGAAGAAAGAAATAGGTAAGAAAAAGAAAAAGATTGCAGTGGGAGGTGGGGGGATGATGGGGTTGTCGTTGGGGGGGAGAAGGGTGAGAGAATGGAAGAGAAAGGGATGAAAAAGGTGGAGAGGAGGATAAGAGATTAGTAGACGATGGTGAATGGAGAGAGGAGGAGAGAAAATAGATCGAAGAAGAGTGCATGTTGAAAAATGTGGGAGAAGAGTGGAAGGGAGTGGCGGAGAAGGGGAAAAAAAAAAAAAGAGAAGAAAAAGTGCAGTAGGGTGAGGCAGTAGTGGTAGAGTTAAAAAAAATTATTAGACGATGGAGAGGGGGGAGAAAAAGGAAGTGGAAGAGTGGGTTCGTGAAAGAGAGGTGATACCAAGCCCTTGGGTGGCCAAAAGCAATCAAAACAACCCCTTAGAAGAAGGGGGTCTTCAACTGCTGCAAAAGCTGTCAGCAAGGCCTGAAAATCTGATTAGATGGATCAGATTTGTTGTAAAGCAGCCCCCTAGCCAGGAGGGTCTTCACACAGTATCACGTGGAAATGGAGGAGACGGGCAAGGGAAGGGGAAAAACTCTTTTGCTCATAATTTTTCACTTGCTTGGTGGAAGTTACCAAAAGAAGACTCGTTGAAAAGC